GACTATATATACAAGACTGTTGTAATTAAAATTATAAATTAACATATTAAGAGTGCTTGTTTAATCACTCTGGGTCCTATTCACAATGAAAAGACTTATGTACATGCATGCAAAACAATGTGTGTTTTCAACCCAGCAGCAAACAGCTTATATATTTTACTTTGGATTCAGAAAGAAAATTTAATGCATCACTAATTACTTGTTTAATGGGAGATGCGCAGTTCTAAGCTTGGAGTGTGGAGGTCAGTTTATGACAGGCAGAGAAAATTATCACATTGTTGCTGCAGGGATGGATTTCCGAAAGGAATTTATATCAAGAAAGGTTTAAACAGGACTTCATTCACAAATGGTGGAAATGTACAGATTTCCTAGATTAAAAGGGTAATCTTAAAGGAAAGTATATCAAGGATGCTAAAGAGCCCCAGTCTATCAGCTCATGACTCTCGTGCACCCAGAAGCCACTCCAAAGCTACCAGTGACACTGCTTGAGGACTTGGCAAGGGAGAGGGTCACGGCTTCTCCTGGGAGGGAGAATCACCCCCTCAGTGTGGTTCTCAGACTCAGTCATGTGCACCAAAACCAAAGGAGCAGGAATACGATCTTCTAGATGAAAAGTCACCGCTTATCATCATGTATTTAATTGAAAGAACATTTCATCAAAAGACAGACAATTATAATTTTCAAACATTTTAATGAAATCTAGCTAGATAAATCTTTACAAGTATCTTTTTAATTTTTGCTACTGAGATTTAAGTAGGAAACGCATGTTTTCATGATTCAGTGCTCCTAAAAGGCTAAATACAACTTCTAATTTTTGATGCTCTTTTTAAGAAATTTTAAATGGTCACTCGCCTGCTTTTGATCTCTGATCATGAACTCAAATCACTACATTAGACTTAAGAGTTAAATTTCCCACAGATCCATTGGAGTAATATATACCCTCCAAATGCAGTTTTATTACTAGAAGAAACAGAGCAGAGAGAATCATAAAGCTGCAAATCCACTTTTATCTCTTTTCCATACCTCTTGACCACTCAAAAGGAGTACCCTTCCCATTGTTTATTTCTAGGATTTAATGCCTGTGAGTTCCACCCAGATGTTTAACCTTAGGGAACTTCCTGGGGTGGGGGGGATTTATTCATCTACTGAGAATAAAGGAGGCAAGAGGGATA